TAAAGAAAAACTAAAAATTGAGTTCTTGAAAAGAATCTGATGGGGCCGGTGCCTTGGTTCATTTGGTTGATCCTCCATCTGCAGCACCGGCATCCCATATGGGCACCAGGTTCTAGTCCCGGTTGCTCCTCTTCCAGTCCAGCTCTCTGCTGTGGCCCGGGAAGGCAACAGAGATGGCCCAGGTACTTGGGCTGCTGCACCCGCATGGGAGACCAGAAGGAGGCACCTGGCTCCTGGCTTCGGATCGGCATAGTGCCAGCCGTAGCAGCCATTTAGGGGGTGGGCCAATGGAAGGAAGACCTTTCTCTCTCTCTCTCTCTCACTTCTAACTCTATCTGTCAAATAAAAAAAAAAACCAACTTATTAAAAAAAAAAAAAAGAATCTGACAAAGTCTGACCAGAGTAAAAATAAAATCTTAGGAATGAAAAGAGGTATAACTAGATGGAGAATAATTTTTTTGAAATTTAAGAGGTTATTATGAAAAATTTTATGCCAATATTTTAGAATGAAATGGATAAACATCTATAAAATATAAATCACCAAAAGTGAATCACACAGTAACAGAAAATCTCAAGGGTCCTCTAAATATTGATAAAATGGCATTAGCAGTTTAAAGTATCCCCAAGAAGATTATTGAGTCTAGACAGTTTTACAAGTGAAATCCACAAACATTTAAACACAGATAATGGCCATCTTATGTCATTCTTTGAGAGACTAGAAAAAGCATATGTACCCCAAATCACTTTATAGGATTACTATTACCTAGATACCAAAACCTGAAGAAACAGTATGAAAAAGAGAAATTTCAAGCCATTCTCATCCATAAAAATTGATATAGAAAAAAACTTATTTATTTGCAAACTAAACCCAGCAATGCAGAAAGGTCATACTTTATGACCAAATTAGGTTGTTCTAGAAATGCAAAGTAGTTTAGGCACTTAAAAAAAAAACTATTAATTAATCACATTAACAGCTCAAAGAAAGAAGGAGGTCATGTAATTACTCAATAGAAACATTTAACAAAATCAACGGAATTTTACAATATTCATTATAACAACGATTCACCAGATAAATTTCACATTCAGTGGCGAGACACAAAAACTTACTCACTTTCAAGTTAGGGGCAGAAAAGAATGTGCTCTATAATTAGCTACATGAAACATCCAACTAGAAGTCCTATCCAGTGCAATAAGACAAGAACAGGATACAATAAAAAGGAAAAAGAACTAACACATACACAGAAGAATCAAAACTGTGATTAATCACAAATTACCACTGGTTACACAGAAAAGCCAAGATAAGCCACAAATTAACAGAATTAATAAGAATTCAGCAAAGCTTCTGGATATAAGATCAGCATATGAGAATCAATTTCATTTATACATGAGCAAAAGCTAATTGAAAATCCTAAAGTTTTGCTTTTCACATTTCAGTACTTATTTCATGTGGAATTGATGTGTGGGTGTGTGTGTACACATGTGTACTGTGAGGTAGAGCTTAGATTTTACTTTTTCCCACATAGGTAACCATTGAATTCCCATCATCGTAAACTGGCCCGTCCTTTCTTGTTGACCTAAAAATGTAGACAAATATTTTGTCTAAACAAGAGGGTTGAAGTGATAACCCAAGATATCTAAAATCTATGCAACAGGAATTTCAGAGCAAGAGAGTTCAAAACCCAGTCTAGAAATTAAAGAAACTGGGACTGGTGTTGTGGCATGTGGGGTAGTGAACCAACGGACAGAAGACCTTTCTCTCTCTCTCTCTCTCTCTCACTGTCTAACACTATCTCTCAAATAAATAAATAAAAATCTTTTTAAAACAATTTTTAAAAAGTTATATAAGATATGCATTCCTAAAAATTGTATATGATTCAAACCTCACACAATATAAAATCAGTCAAGAAAATATGATGGGGATTTCGTTAATCAGCTAAACCACATATATAATTCACTTGATCACTATCTTTTAGGCTACATTTTTAATTTGTGTTGATTCATACTATTCCACATCTTGTATGTAAAGCAAGACTATTAAAATGTTTATAGCATGCAACTTCCTACTGCAGAAGTCAGACTCCTAAAGAGCGGCTCTGGTGCATATTTAAGACTTCAAGAAACCATCCTTTTCATGCCATAGTGACTGTTCAAGAGCACAGAGTCACCTGAAAAATAATTCATGGAACTGAAACGTTGAGACCCACGGGTAACAGAGACAGCTTGAAAGGAATTCTTATTAATAGGAATGCAAAAACCTAAGTAACAGCAAGCATGGCTCAGTAATATATAGTAGCTGTCCTTTCAAACTTCCCTGTAACTGGGATTAATAAACGCTTTCCTTACATTGTGTCTGGCAGCAATGTGACCACAGTTAGGAGCCCAGCGTGTCCACTGCAGCCCCAGCAGGTGAGTTGTGGTTTGCCAACACTCAAAAGTGTTTGTTCCCAAACATGTTCAGACCAGATATACTAACAAGGTAACTAGATAAATAAGTTACATACTGAAAAAAACTAAATCTGAATTTAAGTAGAAAAGGGATTTTATAGATACTCATTTCATACTTTTTCAAGAGATGAAAGTGCCAGGGGTATCAAACTTTAAGAGGATTCTACACTTGGGCTTTGTTCGTTTGTTTGGCACATATCACTAAGTTCCCATCAAACTTTAATAAACCTAAAGCGGGGCTGGTGCTGTGGTGTAGTGGGTAAAGCCACCATCTACAGTGCCGTCATCCCATATGGGGGCCAGTTCGAGTCCTGGATGCTGCACTTCCAATCCTGCTTTCTGGATTGGAAAGTATATAGAAGCTGGCCCAAGTGCTTGGGCCTCTGCACCCATGTGGGGCACCCAGAAGAAGTTCCTGGCTCCTGCCTTCAGACTGGCCCAGCTCTAGCCTGTGTGGAGACCCAGAAGAAGCTCCTGGCTTCAGATCAGCTCAGCTCTGGTCATTGCAGCCATTTGCGGAGTGAACCAGTGAATGGAAGACCTCTCTCTCGCTCTCGTTCTACTTCTCTGCAACTCTTTCAAATAAATAAGTAAAATCTTAAATAAATAAATGAGTAAACCTAAAGCTACAAATCACAGTCATGCATTTTAGGTGTGGTTTATTCCCCAAGGATAACATGACAAATCAACACACCAAATTAAAAAAAAAAAAAAGGGGGGGGGGGCTTAAAACATGCTTGTGGTATGGATATGTGACTTTTAATGCGTCCCTGCTTAAGTTTTTCAACCAGCCAATAAACTACCTGTCTTGATTGCACTAAATAACAGATCTTCCTTTACAGTGAACTGTAATCCATGACCAAGCGACCAACTGGGTTTACTCCAGGAATACAAGACAACTACACATTATATTAACAGGGCAAGAGAAGACAAAATGATCATCTTAATAAATACCAAACCACATTTGATAAAAACAAACTCCTCATACGTATTTTAAAGCTATGTTTAAACCAACAATACAGGACACAACCTCAACAAAATAAAAAACATCTATCTCACGTTATCATTCATTACCATGATCAATGGGAAAATGGTAGAGATATTCTCTAGAATCATGACTCAATAAGTTTGCTCACTAACATCTCAATTATCAAATTGGAAATTATTCTGGAATACTTTCAGCTATTCTGGAAAAAGGGATAAGGTATAAATATTAGAGAGAAAGTGACATTTATTATTATTTGGAAAAAAAAATCTTACCTACTGAAAAACCCAACAGAATCAATTAACAACTCTCAGAATGAAGGAAGGCGTTTAATTTTTCAAAGTAAATAAACAGAAATTTGTTTTCTTATATTGCTAGCAGTAGTCAGAGTCATAAGGGGGGAAAAAGAGATTCTATTTAGAATAGCAGCAAAAGCTATAAAATCCCTAGGAATAAATTTTAACAAGAAATGGGCTGAGCCTATAAAAAGGAAACTGAAATAGTTCCTCCAAGGAACATAAGACAATAGTGGAAATTAACAAATTAAATGTCCAATGATAGGGAGTAGTTAAAACTTTATGAACGTCCATATGACATGCAGTCCCATTTTTAAAAGAACATAAAAATACAGAAAAACATTCACAATATACTTTTAAGTTAAAATGCTGATTATAAAAAGTACAATATGATTCCAATTTTGCAAAAGAAAAAGGTATGCACACGTGCACAAAATAATTTAAAATGTAGGTACATCAAAATCTTAACAGTGCTTATCTTTTAACTTTCTGCCTTACACATTTTTGTGTTTTTCCATGTTTCCTATGATAAACCAGAAAAATTATATGTAAAATTATACATATATGTAATATATATATATGTATATATATCTCCTCCTGTTAGCAACCTGTGTGATACCCACTCCAGCAATGCCACTCCTGGACACCACAAGTGGGATTTAATTCACCGCCTTTTGTCAGATCCTATCACTGTGCCTCCCCACCCCCAGCAGGTCAGGGACTCCCCCCGCCATGAGCGTGGGATTCCATGAGTGTACACCGAGAACTAGACACCCTAGGCCCAGGGAGGACCTACAACCCACACAGATGACACCTGGGAAATCAGCTTGGGTAGGCTGGGAAATGCAGGAGCTGATCATGGCTCAACCAGCCCTCTCCGAGTCTGCCTGGAGCCAGCTGGAGCCCCTCAGTCACACCTACCCTTCATTGCAGCTGGAAGGAACAGAAAAAATCAGCCTGCCTTGCCCACCCAGGTCCCAGGAGTCAGAAGCAACTTGGATACTCTCTGCTTCCACTGGTCCATGCTGCCCCACCTAGCACCTTCCCAGGACTGGGGCAAATCTCGGATGCACCAGGAGACAACACAGGGCTGTCCTTTGTGGAGACCTACCCACCGTTCCGTTACTACACAGGGCAAAGGGAGCTATTTGCTGCTAGAGCTCAGAAAATACCACCTTGATTCCCCCTCCCCTGTCCCCCTGCAGACGACCCCTCCCCCGACCCAGCCCCCCAAGGGAAATTAAGGAGCCCGAAGAGCGGCACCTGATACATACATGAGGACTGGATGGAGAAGACGCCGTGTTAGTGGGGACCAAGCTCGACAGCCCATCTGCAAGCTACAAATTAAACACGCTGGTTAGCAGCAGGTTTGGGGAATCCACGCCAGGGACAGCCCCTAGGACACAGAACTCTCCCGTGCAGGCATCCTCGACTCCTTCTCCAGGGAGACAGCACACGGCGTGGAAGAACACATACTTCCAAATGGAACAAGCCCAGCTCATCCCAGCACCAGCTGGATGATCCTGGGTAAGCCCCCAACCTCTCTGAATTGGCATCCTCATCTGGGAAATGGGCACAATACCCACCTCCCAGGGCCACAGTGCATATGAATGCAATGAAGACCAGGCAAGCCCATTACCAGGTGAAGCCCACGGAATAGCCTCAGCCAGTGCCGGGCTCCGGCCCGCTTCCTTACTGTCCTCGGACCATTGGCTTGGCCGCCTCACCACAGAGCCCTCCCTGCCTTTCCAGTCTGTCTCAGGGAGGCTCCCATTCCCTATCCTGCCTGGCACTTTCCTCTAAGAGCTGAGCCACACCACCCCTGCTTGTGCAAGTACCTGTTTCTGTCTCCTGGAGGACAAGAGCCGGGGCATCCCATGCTGCCCCCAAAGCCTTGGTCTTTGGACTTTAGGAGCTGTGTAAGTGCAGTGAGCCACGCTTTACTGCAAGTAAGCTTCGGCACCAGTTCCTGGCCTGCACGCAGTCTTCCTGCACTGCTAATCATCGTTTTATGGGCCGAGGGCCGAGCGCACCTCCGGGGCTCAGGACTGGAGGCTGGGGACTTTTCAGAGGCCACGACACTAGTCCAGGGGATGGGGAGGCGCGCCAGGTGGAGGAGGACCAGTCTCACAGGTGGACAGGCAAGGAGATGCACGCTGGGCAGAGTGCCAGCAGCTGCTGGTGTAGAGGGAGGGAGAAGCATGGGACAAATGGGCCAGAAGGCAGGCGCGGGAGCAGCCACCAGCAGGGCCCGAGCTGCCAGGGCAAGATGCTGAGTTCTCGGCCTGGAGCAGGAAGCCCAGCGAGGGATCCCTAAGAGCCAAACCCCAGGCTGTCCTCCCGCCACTGGCAGTGAAACCCTAGGGCCCCTCCTGAGGGTGGGGGATGGAGCTCTGCAAGGGGACTTGAGACCCACAGGCCAGACCCATCCTGTGCTGAGGAGGGGCATCACCGAGTGCTCCCTCGGGGCCACTCAGAGCCAGGAGCATGGGCCACAGGGAGGAACGGCCCACAGTACTCAACCAGGGCCTTTGGAAGATCCCAGCAGGCAAAACCCACGCTGGGCATCGTGGGACCCCCAGAAGAGACCGGCCCCACCAGGCAGCAGCACTGCCCCTCCCATCCCCATCCTGAACCCCGCGGAAGCCTTACTGTTATTTTTAATGTGGTTCTTTTTTAGAAAGGTGAGAGAGAAGCCAGCAGTTCACCAGAGCACAGGGGAGAAAATATAAAGCTAAACATAGCGCGGCAAAGATCGGGTCCGGCTGCAGAAATTACACGTTCCCCTTTGGGACTCGGCCATAATTGGCCACTCTGCTGCTGGGGCGCGTTCCCACCTTCACGGTGTCCCAGAGACTATAACTGGAGCAGCAGGCTCAAAATTAGCTTGAGCCCGGGGGCACGGGAGCACGCCAGCCCCACAGCACCCAGGCCGCAGGGTGCAGAACAGGTCTGCACCACCCTTGGATGCCTCCTCCACACAAGTCTGCCAGGCCTGGCTCCTCCTCAACCCCCCTCCCCCGGCCCCTACCTCCACACACGCCGCTACCATATACCCACACACACACCCCCAATCATACCACATACGGGCTATGGGCTCAGACACATACATCTACTACACACACACACACACACACACAAACACATACACACACCCGTCTCTACCACATACACAGATATGTTTCCTACCTATATCCACCAAACACACAGTCCCACTTCCAAGTCCCTGCTCAGGCTCTCTTGGCTGCCAGGCGAGCCCTCCTCCCTCCGCAGCTCTGAGCCCCTGGGCCCAGAGGATGTCCCCAGGCACCCCTCCCTGACGCTCAGCACACGCTGACCCATGGACCGGAGCAGTCCAGGATGCTGGCAGCTGCATCAGTGAGGCACCTCAGCGGTGCCGTGCAATCGCCTGCGTGTGAGACCTGCCACACCCCTCTCGGCTCCCAGCCCGTGCCTTCCCTTTACCCCTGCACAGTACACTGGGTCCAGAAATCCAGGAGACCCCTGTCCCACAGCGGCCTCCGAGAGACCCTAGGGTCTCACTGCCAATGAAGACAGGATGGTCTGGGGCTTGCTCCTCGGGACGCCATCCCAGGCTCTCTGCTCCAGGCTCAGACGAGCAGCCTTGCCCTGGCAGCCCCCGTCCCGCTGGCCCCTCAGCTCTCCAGCGCCCCGCTCTAGCACCCACTTCCTGGCCCTTCGCCCTTTCTCCAGCGTGCCGTGCTTCTTCCCTCCACCTTCGCAGCTGCTGGGGCCCCGCCCAGAGCATGTCACCTGGCTTTGTCCACCTGTGAGCCTGGTCCTCCTTCACCCGCAGCCCTGCAAGCTTTCTTAGCACCAAAGGTGAACGATATGGGGGCAAGAGAGGACACAGAGGTCATCATCTCTCCTCTGGGCCCCAGACCTTCTGGGGGTAGGGAGGGGTGGGTGACGGGCTCTGTTCTCCTTTACGGTTCTCTTCCCATCTTCCTAATCACAGCATCAAGAATGAGTTTAATGAGACAGACAGGTTACTAAGCAAAGGCCTCAGATTTGTTTTAAAGATGGCCATGGAGTCCAAATCAGAGAGACTGAGGGAGCCGGAAAGGGGAGCCCAGAGGCGAGATGCTGGTGGCACTCACAGTGCACGTCTGGTTGGACGCAATGCCCATTTGTTTATTCTCGATATTTTCTGAACTCATGCATAATGAGTGTGTATCATATTTATTTATCAGGAGAAAAAAAGAGAATGTATTCTTTGTTTAAACCAGAGAACCACATGGGCTGAAGTACTTCCGAGGACACACTCATGCCTGCCCCTAGAAAGCTAAAAGTCAAGGCCAGGATTCCTGCCACGCCACCACCAAGCTAGGGACGTTTTGCTGGTAGCCTCAGAAGCATGCACACACCTGCCCCCTTCCTCTCCCACCTCTCACGCAGAGGCAGAGCTCTGTGTGTGCACTCCACACACACTCGTCCCAGCCCACCCCTGGGCTGCCAACCTGAAGTGTATAGGTGGGACAGCAGCCGGACCAAGGGCAAACAGTGGAGTTCAAGTGCATGCGCAGAGGCATCTCTCAGTCAGTCTCAGCAGCACGGAGCTCAGAGGCCAGCCTCCCACACAGCACCCTCTCCATCCCCAGAAGCGCTCCTGACCCACAAGCCATGGGAGGCCAAGGGGACAGATCTACATTCTGCACATACTGTGAGTTGGCCCCGGCACAGGCCATCTTGACACGGACCAAAACATGTCCCAGGTCCTCAGGAGCACTCTGTCCTGAGGGCCAGCTGGGGACCTGAGCACCAGGGAAGGTTGGCAGGAGGCATTCTCCGAGTGTGGTGGGCTTATCCCAGGACCTAGGCAGATGACAGCGAGGGGCATCAAGAGCCGAGAGAAGGGAGTAAGTGGGGGGGGATGACAGCCAGGGCCCAAGACAGACGCCCGACCTGGCAAGAGCAGGTGTGAGCTGGAGGAGGAGCCCCTGGCTGGGTGGACAGCCAGGACTGGGTGAGCCAGCAAAGGGGCTGCATCGGCTGTGAGGTTGAAATAGGCTGCAAGAAGCACAGTGGGAAAAACAGTAGCCAGGCCAAACCAACTCCTGCCAGACTTTCTGTCCTTCCAGTCTCTAGAAGTCCAGGGCCTCTCTATCTGCACTAGGGGCAGGAAGAGAGCAGGAGAACACGGCCAAAATGAACTGACAAACCCCAGGAACCAGACCCCAGCAGCTCCAGGGTCAACCTGGGAGCGCCTTGGCCTCCCAGTGTCAGTGGCTGTGGATGAGAGCAGTCTGTGCAAACGCCCTGCATCAGCCAGGTTGGACAAACAGATCTTAGAGCCAAAACACAACACAAAGTCAGACCCTGAGCTAGGGGCTCCTCCAGGGCCAGGGCTCCCTCTGGACTCGGGGCTCATCTCCTCCATCAGACAGGGGGCTCAGTGAGGGCAGAGTCCCAGTCTCCTCCATCAGAACAGTCTGGTCTTCCTTCCTCCTCCTTCCTGCCCTCCACGTTCAGGTGAGGGGAGGCCCCGCCGCTCCCCATGTGGACAGACCTCTAGGAGCCCATATTCTGGTGCCCCATTCCTCTGCCTGGCCAGCAGCTCCCGCCAGAGTGGCCAGGGGCCTCCCACAAGGAGCACAGGCCTGGCTCTGGCTCAGACGCCATCTCCAGTTCCCTCATGTCAACACTGGGAGGACGGCCAGACGGGGCCTCCTCCTCCTCGGCCTCTGGCTGTGCTTGTAGCCAGCAGGGCCCAAAATAATCCCCTCCCCATCCAAATCTGTAGACATTTTGAGGGCAGCACATGCAGAACGGAAATCCTGCTGGGCAAGCCCCTGATTTTTCCTGCACAGTCCCAGACAGAGCCATTGAGGAGGCCAGAAAACAGGGGCCAGGATCAGGAAAGCCCAGAGTTAGGGGGCAAATTATCTGCCTGCTTCAGCCACAAACACTCAACCAGGCACCAGTGTGGAGTTCAGATCAGTTTCACGAAGGGCTCTTTGAAATGTCCGTAGGGGTTTCCCCAGTCCTGCAGACAGTGGGCAGGTAATCAGTCCGGCCCCTAGTCGCTGCCTGCCCATGGACTTCCACGGAAACCTCTGCAGAGGCAGATCTGTGGATGCTGGGCATTTGAGAGAGGAGCCCCAACTGCCAGCCTCAGTCTACCGTGGAGAAGATGCTGACACATACAGAGACAGGCAGGACCTGGGACAGTGCTACAACCGAGACACAGACCAGCCTGGCAGGAGAAGTGAGGGAGCCAGGGAAGACACCTTGAAAGAGGTGACCGCATCCAAGCTGAGGCTTTGAGAGTGACAAAGAGCTGGCTAAGTGAGCCAGGACAGAAGGTCTCCCAGCAGACAGGACGATGGGACAGAGCCCTGGGGGGCTGGAAAGGAGGAGAGCTCAGGGCTTCAGGAGACTTCTTAGCACAGAGCAAGACCTCCCGTGTCAGCAGCAGCAACAAGGCCCAGAGCCAGACACCACGGTGGGGGCGGAAAGATGAACGTGGGAGAAAGCAGCAGCAAGCAGTGCTCGGTGCAGAGGGAAGAGTGGCAAACACAGCTGCAGGGCGGCTTCAAGGCAGGGGCTGCCGGACTGCCGAGCTCGGCACCCAGGCTGACATGTGATCACCAGTTTAAGGAATGGGAGCCATCTTCAAGTGCCACCCTGTCCCTGCATACATACGCAGGCTGTGGGCCCGAGACACAGGCGTCGTCTACAGTATGGGCACAAAGGCTCAAGGCAGCCTGGCAGTTCGGGGAGCCCCAGCATGCCAGGGGCCTGGCCCACGTCACAGGAAGCCTGGAGAGGAAGGTGACCACTTGGAGCAGACCTCAAGTTCAAGGCCAGGTGCTCACAGTGAGGTCTTTCTCCATCTCCACCTTAGGAGGGACTGGATTGCAGCCCTCCAGGATCCGGGGCCCAAGGTGGAGTGAGTGCTTCCAAGAGGCCATAGGCATCCAGCCATGCTCTTTGCATAGGCTCTGGGCCACTAGCTGGCCCTACTGGGCTGAGTACACAGCAAAAGGATGACTCCTTCCCCCCATGAGATCGGAGATCCTCAGAGTACTGTCCCAGTCCTGCCCCTCTTCCCCTCCTTTCCTGGAGGCAGGGACACAGGGCCATCGGTAGGGACACAGCCTCCTGTTTCTGAGCTGCCCCAAGCACAGATGTGGAAGAACCCGCCCTCGAAGAAGGGGCCTGCCAGGGCTCCAGAGACTGCCCCACCCACCTTGATTGCCTGGCTGGGGATCTCCAGGAGGAAGCCCCAGTGCAGCCCCCAAGGTCAGGGGTAGCTGTTTTTCTCACATGCTTCCAGGAACAAATCAATTGGGTGTCACAGGGAAGACCACATCCCACCCCCTGGACCAGATAGGAAGCTTCCACCTCCATTCCTCCCTCAGTGACAGGGCAAGGGGAGGGGGCCTTGGGGCCGCCCCTACCTGGGTGGGGATGAGCGGCTCCTTGTCATCGATGTCAATGAGCACGTCCTCCCCAGGGCTGAGCAGGCTCACGTCATCTGCATGGGGGCGGAGGAGGAGGCTTGTCTCTCAGCCACAAGGAGCAGAGGCAAGACCCCTCGTTCTCCATGCCAGGACCCATCTCTTCTTCCCACCCAACTCTCCCCTCTCCCAGGTCTCCTCCACCTTCAGGTGCAGCCGAGCCTCCCCTGGGAACTTCCGTCCAGCTCCAGGGGCCCTCCCCTACCTGGGCCTCCCTGTGGCGATGGACTCTCAGCTGAGTAGGGGTCACACAGGAAGCTCTCCAGGGAGCGGATGGTGCACTGGCCCACCACAGGCCGGCGGCCAAACTGGCGGTTATCAATGACCTTGACCACAATGGGCGGGCAGTAGAGCTCCTCCCGGGGCAGCATCTGGGGGAGGAGAAGTGAGGCTCCAGATGCCAGCCTGAGCCCACGTCTGGAACACCCAGGAGAGGCTGGGGAAGCAGAGTACGGCTGTAACCGCAGGGAATCCCCAAGAGCCAGACCCAGAAGCCACTCACCTGCTCTGCCCACTTTTTGGGTGTTGTCCAAATGCCAGCCTTTCCCCCGCTTCCCTACCTTCCAGAGCCACCGGCTTCGCAGCAAGCGAACGCCCAGTCTCCCTTCCCTGAGCCCTCACCAGCCAGGGAGCAGCGAGGGCGGCTGGGCCGGGGCTCAACACCTCTTGCAGACAGTGCCCCCCAAGTGGATACTCAAGAGTCGGCTTCCAGATCCAGCTGCTCCCCCCACTGCCGCCGCCCCGAACACACTTTGAACACAACTTGAAATAATTTATGTGCTCTCCTCCAGTGGCGGCTCTGGCCCAGCCAAGAGGAGGCTCCTGTTGACAGCCACTGGGCCTGGAGTTTCTACAGCGCTTTCATCTCGCAAACCTCTTTCCTTTCCTCAGACTTGCCTTTCTGCAGCCACGAGGCGAGGCCCAGCAGCCCCGGGGAGCTGGAGAGTGCTGGGCTCCCGGGGCCGGGGGACCGGGCTGGGGAGGCCCCGGGTGGACAGAGCCTGAAGGCATCTCTGGAAGTCAGAGCCATGGCGGGCGCCTGTAACAACTCAAAGAGGCTATAACCAAGCTCTCTCCTGGGACTGCTGACCCTGGTGGGGTGGGCAAGAGCAAGTCGGCCGGCCAGTGCTGCTCACAGCACCGGATGCTTTTCCTCCCCATTTCCACTTCAGAGGGAGAGTTTCTGAGAGAGAGCTCCCTGGGATCCCACAGGGAGCCAGAGCCACAACCCCAGGTAGCCTGAGGCCATGAGGGCAGCGCAGGTGGCGGCAGGGAGAGGGGCTCACCACTTCCATGAAAAGAGTGCAGACGTCAAAGTTGGGGTTCTTGCGGAGGTTCCTGATGACGCAGGACTGCACAGCCTGGCCCCCGCACTCCACCACGAGGCTGGGGGAGGAGATGCTGGCCAGCTGGTAGCTCTTCATGTTGCGCAGGCCCCAGGCCAGGATCTGGGGAGCCCAGGAGGAGGATGGTGTCTGGAAAGGTTCCGAGCACTAGGAGAGGCCAGGGCCAGGATGGGAGAAGGGCCAGGCTGCTGCGCCCAGGTGGGCCTCACCTCTATGGCTGTCCGCTGCAGAACAGGCTTGATGTTCTGGGGAACCATGTAGACGTTGGCCTCCCTCTGGGGTGGTGGGTAGGGCAGGTCCGTGTCATCCGACTGCAGGGGGCACCAGGCAGGATGGATGGAGACCAAGGTGGGAGTGAGACCAAGCAAAGAAACAAGAAAGGAGAGACAGGACAGAAAGAAATGACAGGCAGACACACACAGATGCAGACACAGGTGGGCAGATGGTCAGCGGCTCGGGCAGCTCATACCAGGCACCGTCCTCTCGTAGGTCACAGGTCAAGCACCTGCAGCAGGGTAGAGGCTGCCCCTTTTCCCACAGCGCAGGCTCCAGCACACCACTGAGCTGCTCAGGGTCTCCCCCTCCCTGACGGTGCTCACACTGTTCACCCGTCCTGGCACAGCCATGCCAATCTCCCCCTAGAGCCTGGTTCTCCTGCTCCTTCCCAGGGACCACCTGCCCTGGTGCTCCACACCTCCATGTCCCACACCTGCTCCCTGCAAGGACAGAACACCTGTACTGCAAACCACAAACAACATAGCAAATGCCCAGCGGGAGAAGGGATGTGAATGCCCGCAGGCACTGCTGGGGTGGCTTCCTCACTCCTGCAGGCCAGAGAACAGCCAGGCCTGTGTCTCCCTGGGCCTCCTAGAAGTTTGCTAAAGAGACTGGGTCAGGGATCCCCAGCGATCTCTAAGAACTATGGGAGAGGCAGGGTTGGGCCAGGGAGACCTCCCACCTTAGACTAGTTGACTACTAGCTAACTACTAGTTAATGTGTTTGACCACTTATGAAGCTAATGAGCTATTTCACTTTGCTTATAGCTCAACTTTTTCATCTACAAAGTGGTTAGTGGACATTATCAATCTCTAAAGGTTAGTGCAAGGGTACAGGAAATGAATACCTGTCCAACACTCAGAAGAGTGCCTGGTTCGCTAAACTCTCACTAGGACTCCTGACCTACCTAGCACCTTTGTGACCACGAGAGAAAGATGTCCCTTTCTTAAAACTCTACTTCCCATATCAGAAAACAGGCATGGTCTTCATTATTAGTACAAGACACTTTACTGCCACCTACTGGAAACTGTTCTAACAAATACAAATAGATGAGGTCTGTGCCAGAAATTATCCCTCCCTTGACACAGTGCCCTTGTGCAGTGCCTAACCTGCACATCCATACGTGGAGGACCTCCCATTTAGGAAATACTGGTTATACTTTAAAGGGCTGTGCTGGATACTTTATGGAGCTTGCCTCATGTAATCTTCATTTAGTAAACAAAGGAGTCACTGGATACATTCTCCAAGTGACCTGGTTTCTTCTGAAAAGGTCGTACACCTATCCACAGATGCTCTGATGTAGATGGTGGGAGATCTGAGGCGGAGAAAATGCCAGCTTCCTCCTGCCTCCCTGAATCGCTTCACAGCCCAGCCGCCCATCACTCTTGCCCAGCGACACCTTGACCTGCAGTGGGAAGCAGCTCAGTTCTGGAGTCAGACGGGCCTGGCCCCTACTTTCAGCTGTGCCCCTCCCCTGTGTGCCCAGGGACAACAGCCCCTTCTGAAGCTGCTCTGAGAACAGCAGGACAGCACAGCTACACAGAGCATCTGTCATACACGATGCGCTCTCCACGTGGCTGTGACCACAGCAACGGCTCCAACTGTGGCTGGGACCATTGTCTGCACCAACGGTGCTGGTGTTGATCTTCCAGGGATGACTTGAGGACAGCTCGGTCCCTGGGAGCACCTCTGAGTGAGACATTGGCCTCGCCACGTCCCCATGTCACCATAGCACAGTGCCGGAACCCTGTAGTCCCCTCCATGCCCGACACTCCACATGGGAAGCTCCTACTCTTTTTTGATTGAGAGGGAGGGTGTCAGACAGGGCTGGCCCAGCACACACCTCCAGGGGGTGCTGTGCATGTCATATTCCACACAGAAGGGATCCCTGGAAAATGGAGTTGGGGCCTCCACAGCCGCAGCGGTGGCCTGGCTGCTGAGAGGACCCCAAGTTTGGTGTGTACCCAGGGCACCCTGAGGCCACCACCAGCAGGTGGCTATGCAGAAGTGACCTGCTCGTGGCCCACTCATGGTCTCTCCTGGCTAGTGTCCAGCCCTATATGGGCCCAGGGCCAAAAGCCCAAGACAAAAGGGGGCAAAAAGAAGGGGCCAGGGAGGGCTCAGCCTCAAGCTCTCCTGAGAGGGGAAGCAGAAAGATCAGTCTTCCTCACACAGCTGCGAGGTTCTCCCAAAATCCCCCTGGGGAAGCACTTCCTATGTGGCCCCAAATCCTGGGCAGCCTTTCCCGGAGCCCCCCTTCCTCGCCCGGCACCAAGGAGCGTCCCCATCTGCAGGCCCCCATGCCCCTGGAGAAGGCTGGGCACTATACCGTTTGCAGAAGGCCCTGCAGGAGGAGGGCGGGTGCACACAGCTGTGGAGCGCCAGGCCCAGCGCAGGCAGGAGGAGAGACAAGCACAGACAGAGGTTAGAGGAGGGCTCAGGCAGCTTCCTCAGCACGGGGCTGCCAGCCCTGTCCACCCTGCCATCGGCTGCAGCCTCTCACGGATCCCTGCCTCTGTGGCTCTGCCCAGCCTGCACGCTGCCGCCACAGCCCTTGGTGCCGTGTGCCCGTCTCGGTGCCCACGGCGCTGCTACTGCGTGGCTGCTCTTAAATGCTCTCCGCCTTCTCACCCCGTCCTTCCCAGCTGCTCATGCTCTCTCCTGGGTCTTTTCCTTCCCCAGTTAAAGACACTCCATGTCCAAACCCCTCCCACGCCCTCCTCTATGCCCCCTCCAGCCCTCTTCCCTCTTCTCTTCCCATTTCCTCCCTGGTGTCCAGTGCTCTCTGCATCCCTCATTCTCCAAGGTCAACAGTCACCTGCCAGCACCCAACCCAAGGCACACACATGGCCGTTGTCTTCCTCATCACGCCTCGGCAGCCTCTGGGCGGCGGACCCCAGCTCCTTCTCTGGGCCCCGCGGCCTGCTCACTGCCGTCTGCTGCAGTCGGCTCAGCAGTGCCTCCTTCGTCCACCAGGAGCTTTCTGCTCCCAGCGTCTCTCCTAACCCCGGCCCCTCATGTGCCCCCAGCCTCTCTCACTGAACTTTTCTACAACTAGATTCTCCATCTTCCACCTCAACACATGCTCCCTGCAGCAGGCAGGGGGCTCCTTGCTTGGCAGGCCATCATCCCACATGGTTTGCATCCAGGCCCCTCTGCTTCTGAGGCAGCTCCCTGCTAACACACCCGGGAGGCAGTAGGTGATGCCCACAAGGGAGACCCAGATGCATTCCTGGCTCCTGGCTGCTCTCTGGCCCAGCCCTGGCTGTTGAGGGCATTTGAGGAGTGAACCAGAAGAAGGAAGCCATCTCCCTGTCTCTGTCACTCTGCCTTCCAAATAGATAAAAACAAACATTTAAAAATATCTGCTCCCTTCCAATGCCCTCTCAGAAAGTGGCCCCACCTACCCCCAGGTGTCTCTGGCTCCTTTACCTCCATATTACCCTGCCTGGTGAGCCACCAGGCACGGATGATTCTGTCTTCCAGGAACTCCTCACGCCCTCCTGACTCCTTTTCCTGGTTCAGGCCATCACCCTTCTCCCTGGATTCACCAGCATCCCTGCCCGGTCTCCTCACATGCAGTTTTGCACACTCCCTCCTAACAACCAGCAGGTGCTGCCCTCTGCAGCCAGGGCGAGCCTTCCAACAACTCCCTCACTGCTCAGTGTCCTGCAGGAGGCAGTGCAAGCTCTCTGAGGCGGCCCCCAGGACCCCTCGTCACCTAGCTCCTGCTGACTTCTCCGGGCACATCTCTTACCAGGTAACTCTCTCCACCCCGACCGCCCAGAGCTCCAAATAGCAAGGAGCAACCTCCCAGACACGGTCAACTCCTGCCCTTCAAACCCTAGCAGGTTGCAAGAGGTGCTGTGGTCTCTGTAGCCTTGAGGCTTGGAGCTCATGGGTCCCTCTAATTGAAATGCACTCTGTCCCCACTTCCTCTGGCCACCTCTGCTGGGACTTTAGATATCCACTGAAATCTTCCCTGGCGCCCTGGGCCTAGGCACTTCCGTGGCTTCCCTAGCAACTCAGCCCCACTGACAGACGCTGTCTCTCACCCTGCACTGTCTCTGTGTGCACTGGACTTTGTTCCCAGAGACGCCAGCAATCCTATACACCCACAGCACAGCCGGATCCCCATCCAGTAAGTAAACCATCCTAATCGGACAGTTGGAGGGAGAAAGAGAAGGTGGACAGGCAGATGAACAGGTGGGTGAACAGGTGGATCAAGGAATGACTCCAACATGTGCTCTCTCTCTAATGCCCTTGTCTGCCCCAGCCTGTTCCTGGGCCCTCACCACACCCAACCCCATGCCTGCTCATTGCTCCCTCTGTCTGAATGGGTTTCCTTGGCTGCCTTCCTGGACGGAGCACATCTCTCTGGGTCCACTTCAAGCTCTCTATCCTCCAGAAAACTCCCCCAGAAGCCTCTCATAACCCTAGTCCCTGACTTCCCATAATCCTCTGCGACCCTACATCCACTGCAGCCTCTGCACCACCCCCAGAATCCTAGCAGCTTCTAACCACCGCACACGTGGAAGCCCTGAGGCCTCAGGATCAGCTCCTGCGCCTGTTTCTCAACTTCTTTCTGGTCCAGGCCACCTGAGGGCTATATGACCTCCTCCCCTCAGGGACAGCAGCTGTCAGCGTGAGAGCCAGGACCCTCATTAGAACTAGGAGTACAGGTCGGCGTTGCCAGGCAGGGGGCGGAGGTGGAATGGAAGTGCACTGGACACTCGGATTCACCATCCCATGAGTGACAGCCCTCGAGGGAAGCCAGAACGAGGCTGGGTGAGGAAGCCACATGGGAGCTGCCCCTCCCTTGCCCAGCAGTGAGTGGAGAGCCGCCCTAGGTGGCCACACGTCTACAGGTATGCATGGTGTTCATCAAGCCCACTCACACAAAAAGGACCCTGAGGACAAGCAAGGACCCCATCAGAGCAGAAGCCACCTTTGGGTGTCCTCCAGTATGTGTGTCCTGCCAACCGGTCCAACACAGGTGGCTGAGCCCTGAGTCATGGCGGCGGGAGGGGAGGGTCTCCCAACCCAAGCCCTAGGAGACACCGCACTAGACAGATGCTCACTCCCAGGCCAGAGGAAGTGTCCACATACCTCTCTAGCCACCTAAGCCCGCAGACCCCCTTCTCACCCAGCCAGGGACAGTCAGGGGACCCTCACAGAAACTCTCACGCTGGTTCCTCGGGGAGTCCCAGGCAGGGGGCAGCCAGGCAGGCTGGGAGGGCTCCACTGTGTGCTGGCCCCACCCAGCTCGTTAGGAACAACATGCTGCTCTAATTACACTTCCCAGGAAAAACAGTGTTTTACATTAAAGCCTTGGGGGAGGACGAGGGGGATGGGAGACCACTGGGTTTATTTTCCTGATTGCAAAACACCAAATTTTTCCTTCCAGCGGGTTTGGGGGCAGAGGCGAGTACCTCGGTACCTCTGCATGAAGCCTGTGGCCGGGGTTCGGAAGGGAAGGGTGGGTGAAGTGACATCTGGCCCAGCCTGGAGCCCGCCATGAGAACAGCCATGGAACAGGCATCTTCTCTTATGAGGGCGGAGCAGGAGAGACGAAGCCGAACCAGGCGGCACTCCTGAGACAGTCAGGACCGCACACCCCATGGGGCCGTCCTCCATGCGCGGTGCAGGGCCCCTGTTCTGAAGGCAGGCGCTCACATGCCTTCTGCTACGTGTGCGCACGAGCGTGTGAGTTCCCGGGTGTGCACACTCACACACGTGCACGCACCACTCTCCAGTTCTCAGGAAATCTAAAATTGCCGTTGCTTTGAACTCATTCCCCCTGGCAGCGTGGCCCGCCTTTGTTCTCCAGACAAAAAAGGAAAAGAAACGAGACGGAGGGCTCAGAAAAGGCGGGAGAAGGGGGGAGATGGGGCCAAGGAGCAGGCAAAGGAAGGAGAAACACAGAGGGAGAGTGGGGAAGAGGCAGAGAGAGAGAGAGAGAGGAGAATGCAAAGGACCCCTCTCTGCCTGCGCCTGTCATCCGTCCACTGCCAGTGTGCCGCCAGCATGAGTGACAATGGTCCCGCCTCCCCACTACCACCGCGCGGGGACCTTCAGACAGGCACAGAGCCTGCACTAGGGAGATCTTGTTGCCCACCATACTGGCCCCAGGCACTGCTCCTGTAGCACCCTCCTTCACCGTTTCTGCCAATCCCTGTCTGCCCTGGGAGCCCTCAGCCCAGGCAGACAGTCTCATCACATTCACAGCATGCTGGCTTCCACACGGGAGTCTCCGTGCCCAGCTGGACTGGCCAATGGCACTCCCCAGGGGACAGGCCACCCTTTAGCCATGCTTCGGGGTCAGCAGCCCCACCTTGTCCAGGTCCCCATTATCCCGACAGTCTCCAAAGCCTCCTGGTTGGTGTTCCCCTAGTTCCCTCCCTGCAGGAAGACTTTCAAAGCCCTCCCATAGCCAGTGGTCCAGGAGCTGAGCCCTTAGTGTGCCTTCCACAGCCCTGCAGGAAGACTGGCCCACAGCTCAGGCTGGGAGCCCGGGAGGGACTGCACGGAGGACACCAGGCAGGGGCTGGGCCACAGGAAGAAGACAGAAAATCCTGCTGAGGCATCAGGTTTCCTGCAGGACCAACCTGCTTGCAATCAGCTCCTGGGGACTCTTAAGACCAAGTGGGACCCAGCATCTTGGCACGAGGCTTCCCCTTCAAGTGGGCTGAGCTACGTCCCCCAGCGCCAGGCACAAGGTCATCCTCCAGAGTGGTTCCCCAGACCAGCTGATACTGCACACACCCAGCTGGGTCTCAGAGGCCGAGCCGCTGGCTCAGCCCAGCCCGACGGCCGGCAGACCCCCAGGACGCACTGGCCCCTGGCCCTGCTGACCCACACGCGGCCTCAGCCTGTGGCCTGGCCGGCCCTGCAGCAGGACACTTGGCCCTCGTCAGGGTCTGGCCCAAAAGCTGCCGTTTTGATTCGTTTCCTGACAAGGCGACCACAGCCAGATCCCTGCTGTCGGAATCTGAGCCCTCGCTGTTACACATGACAAATCCAGTTATTAGGGACCTAAACTTTTTTTTTTTAATAACTCATCCCTGGGCTGGGTCCTCTTCAGCGCAGGCTGTGGGTTTTGGCCACAGAATGCTCTCAATCAAGAGCGAGGGCTCCGTGCTGCCTCCCTGGACGGGGCCCTGCCTCCCGTTCCAAACCGGCAGTCTTTCGCAACTGCAGCCAGGAGCAGGAGGCGGCCTGTCGGGCGCGATCACGGCCAGCTCCCTTGGCGGACCCCACCTCGGTCTGGGAGCGACAGGAAGTGAGGTAAGGGGCGCGGGACCTGCGGATCCCACATCCTGACCCTGCACTTTGAGTCCAAGTTACACCGAAAATGTCAAACGGTGGCCGCTCCCAGCCTGGGGATTCCCTGATGGCAGGAAGCAGCCGCTCTCTTCCCCGGAGCCTCAGCCCCAGGCTCACTCTCGGCCACCGGTTCACCGGCATCCAGGAGGCCGTTAAGAGTGTGCTTCTCACCACCCTCCCCCAAGGACATGTCCTGGCTTCTTCTAGATGCAAACCCCAAACGCCTGCCAGTCCCCACAAATCCCCAGTCCACCCCATTTCTGAAGCCAGCCCTGGAGCCAAAGGTGTGTTCCCTCCTTTCTCCTAAGCCTGCAACTTCTGGCTGCCTCCCGCACAAAGTCGTCTTTGGCTGCTCTGGTCCCCTCTTAACATTGTATTCTTGAAAATGTGCCACTTGATAAGACTGGGCATTGCTGTCCGTATAGTCATCTGGCCTCCAAACAGGACAGCTGGCCCTCCTTCTGAGGCTAGACTCACCCCCAGGACACAGCCTCGGCAACCCTGATCCACACAGAGCATGAGAATAAAATCCAGACAGACCTCTAGGCGACAGGTGACCACAGGGAGCCAGGAACCTGGATGGCTCTGAAGCAAGTGCTTAGAGGCCGCTGGCCTTCCCTCCTCCCCCCACCCCATCCCCGCCCCTGGCCCTGCCACCAGCCACAGCCTCGAGGGTCCAGCTCACCTCATCCAGTATGCCTGAGCTGTCCGGCACCTGCACCACACCCGTGGGATGTTCCATATCCAGGAGATGGGTGGGGGGAGAGGGGAAGAGACAAGTTCTCCATTAGTAACAGGAGCACTAGGCTGGGCCACAGAGGAGCACAGCAGAAACCTGCTCATCTGATCCAGAATGGCCGCTTCCTGATCACACCCCCGGCCCAGGATGGCCACCTGAGAAGGAAGAGGTGGACATCGATGCAGAGGGAGAGGTGAGAAAGGCTGAAGCCTAGTCGCAGACAGAGTCCAGGCAGCTCTGGGAAGGGAGCCTGTGCAGCAGCCCCAAGGAGACGACAGGTGCAGCCTGCCAGGGCACAGGGACGTGGGGAGCTGGGAACAAACCTGGCATCCCCCAGGGCTGTAAGAACCAAGAGCTGCAGCTTGGATAGGACAGGGAGAGAAGAGGAGGAGGAGGAGGAGGGGAGAACAGCAAGGGTGGGTGGCATGGGGGTGGCTGAGTGGGGCTTGTAGGGTAAGAACTGTCTGGAAATGCCGGGGCTTCCTGTGAAGGGGAGATAAGCACTCTAACAGCTGCTGCTGTGTCTGGCCTGCACTGGCACAGTGAATCCAATCAGCCTGGGCCCCAGGCCGAGGTTTACATTGTCTGCTCTGACCCCAGGAGGAAGAAAGCAGGAGGCAAGAAGGGAGGAAAGCACCCATGGCAGGTAAGAGGACATGGCATTAGGATGGGAACAGGGGTCAGCAAAGACCGTCTCAGCCATAGCTTCTGCATGTCACTCGTGCACGGGCAGTCCCTGCCCAGAGTCTACATAAGGGGACCCCAGGAACTAGCTGAGGTGCTGCGGAGCCCTAGCCCAGGCCACACCTCCAGAGGTAGTGTTTCTGGTGGGGGTGGGGCGAGGGCACGACAGACTTCCCCAGGAAGAAGGCCAGGCAAGGCCAGGGCTGGGTGGCGAACCCCTCCCACCCCGCCCTGGGGCTCCACACACAAGGTGGGCTGTGTCTGCCCATCTGCCTGTGTTGCCCCGAGGAGCTGCCAGTGCAGGGGCAGGCAGTCAGCTTCAAGAAGGAACGGCAAGGGCGAGACTCACCTCGAAACCGGGGATGTGGTGGACGGCCGGCTAGGGTGAAGAAAAAGCATGGTGGTCACGTGGCTGTCACCCCAGGCCCCCAGCCCCTCACTTCTGCCCTGGCCAGGCAATCACATCTTCAGCCCCCAGCGACACCCGCGGAAAAGGTCGGTGACCAGAGAGGCAAGGGCGCGCTAACCCCATCCCTTGGGAAGAAGGGGAAGCTGAGGACCGTGGTCCCCTCCAGACACTTCATTCAGGGCAGCCTCCCCTATCCGGGGCACATTTTTGGGCTCACACGTACCAAGAGCAGAGCTCTAACCCAAACCTCTTGTTTCACAGTGGGGACATGGCTGACCTAGGGCCATGCATCTGGGCCATGGCAGAGCCGCCGTGGAATGGGGATGCTGCCTTGCCATGGCCCAGCCGCCCCCATCACTGCTGTCCAGACCCCTCCCCCAGCCAGACCACAGAGGTCTTCATCCCAGAGCCACATCGGGAGATGACCAGGCGAGAACTGGGGGGAGGGGGCAGGGCACAAGGACACTGCAGAACCTAACACTGTGCCATGCTCAATCGTGTCCTAATTAGGGGTTCAGGAAAGATGGGAGAAGAGGGCCTCAGAAGGAGGAGGAGTGGGAAGGGTCCCAGCAGCCCTCCCAGGTCTGGACATGGACCAGCCTCACCTTCTCTCTCTGGATGAGCTCAAAGGAGGCCAGCAGCTCGCCGGCCGGCTGGCTGCCCCTCAGCAGTGGGAACCAGGCCAGCCGGGGCATCCGCTCCAGACTCGGCTGACAGATGCAGCGGCCCATAAACTCGTCGGCACCCTGCACAGGGCATGGAGGATAAGGAGCCTCAGAGAGAGGAGCAGACCCACACCCGGGACCAGACAGGGCCTCGGAGTCAGGGCAGCCTCTGTGGAGGATGGTAGCCCTGCTCTCCTCAGAGGGAGGCACGGACCAGGAGGGACGCAGCCGGGCTCTGACCACCAACACCTGGCCTGCATTGCTGGCTCAGTCAGAAGTCCTTCTGCAGGTCTAACTCTGTTGACCCTGCTTTTACTTAACCCAGCTCTGTGTCCTTTGGAGACCATAGAACCAACGCCCTCAGCAGCAGAGGGGCTGTTCTGCATTCATTTCACTCTTCAACACCCCTCTTTGCAAATGGGGAAATGGTGATCGCACACATCAAGTAAGCCTTGTGAAAATGCTGTTTTCACCTCACACTGCTTTGCCAGGCACCTTCCTTGGCTCCTACTGTCGAGAGGACAGGGGCCAAGTCCCGGGCTGGCACCACAAGCCCTCCCCATAGCCCTGTTCCCCCCCTCCCCATGCTCACTCCAGCCCACAGCCTCAGCCGGCCTCTCCCTCCTCGAGCCAGCATGGCATGGTCAGTGCTGCTGTCCCCCCTCCCTCACAGCCCTGCCAAGATGAGCCCTCTGTATCTTGGCCTGCCTATGGCCTCCAGGCATGTGGATGGCTTCTCCAAGGGCAGGGGCATGGAGCCAGATGGTGCAGCGGCCCACACAAGCCAGCATCTGGAGAGCCCCCAAGCAGAAGGTCGTGCACTGCAGGGGGCCATCCTGGGGTAGCCAGCAGCCCCTGCAGCAATGCCCACCACGGCGGGAGACAGCCTGGCTCCAACCACTCAGAGTGGGCCTCCTCCCCCGGCTGCTTGTTGCCCTGTGGCATCGGTCTTTCCTTTGGAGAGCACCCAGGAGGGCTCCCCAGCCCAGGCCTGTGTTGTCCACCACTGGCTGGCCCCCATCCAAACAGCATAGTCCTCCCACACCCCCTGGGCGGCTCAACCTCCCAGGGCACCCAACATTTGGTCATGGCAACTCTGGAAACATCTTCCAAATCCTGCCTCCTCCCTTCTCATCCCCCTAGGACCTACAAAACCCTAGCCAGGCCTCTCTGCCACGTGCCTGGTGGGCCAACACAGCCGTGCTCTTCCAGTACTACCCAACCCTGTGTTCTTCAAACAGCTGACTCTGTCAATCCTGTGCTCTCCTCCTTCCCGGGCTGCCTTCCCCTGACATCATAGTCTCCCACTCACAGCTCTGCCCCAACACCCCAATCCCACATTTCCCCGCCATCCTGCCACAGTTCACTGTCCCTCCAGGAAACTTCAAGACCTGCGCTGTCCAATGCAGGAGCACTGGCCACTGGTGCCTACTTAAACCTACATTGTAGTGCATTAAAACTAAAGAGGGGGCACCTGGCTCAATGGCCAAGCCACCGCTTGGGATGTCCACATCCCACACCATAATCCTCTAGGTTCAAGTCCCCACTCCACTTCCAATTCAGCTTCCTGCTAATGCACACCCTGGGTACTTGGGTCCCTGCCACCATGCAGGAGACTTGAATTGAGTTCTGGGTTCCTAGCTTCAAGCTTGCCCAGCCCCAGCTACTGAAGGCATTTGGGGAAGTGAATGGAAGAGACCGGTTTCTCCCTCTCAAATAAAATGAAAAATTTAAAAATGTTTTAAACTAAAGAAGGCTTGAAATTCCACTTCTCAGGCTAGCCCCATTGCCAATACTCCTATGCTGGTGATAGCACAACCATGGGTCATTTCCACCAACTCGGGAAGTCCCAGTGGATAGCTCTGCCTGTGCCACAGAGTTTGGGGGGACCTGGGGACACACCTTCTCCTGCAGGGGAGTCTCTGCTCTACTGGTGAGTCTTAGCTCCCAGCTACAGGGGGGATGCCAGGCAAGGGGCCCCTCCTCCCAGGAAAGCCAGCGCCTGAGAAATGTTTGTGCAATCCGCAGAGCTCGGTGATGGCAGCAGGGACCACACAGGATCTCCTAAGCGAGAAGGAGGAGCCCAGCCTCTGCTCCACCGCGGCCACCTCTGCGGCGCTTCACTAGCCGTGTCTGCCCTGGCACACGTGTGCTAACCAGCCAGTCTCAATTACTCTCAAAAAGCTTTAACTGCTGCATAGCCTGCAGGGTGCAGGGAGAAGCCACCAGTCCCAGCCGCGGGGAGCACCCATCTGGTGGGAAACCAAGAGTCCACGGAGACTCAAACTTCAACCTCACCGGCCGTCTCTCCCTGGAGCCTCCAGGGGGTGGGCAGTGAGGGGCAGGGGAGGGAGGCGGGTGACTCACGTAGGTGTCATGATCGTACAGCTCCACCACGATGCTGGGCGGCTGCTCGGCAATGCTGGCTGGCTCGCCGAAGATCTCGATCTCATAGAAGATGAGCGTCTGGTCCCAGGTGGGGTTCAAGGTATTCTTCGCCACCACGGTCTTCTGGCTCTGGTGCAGGAAGGACACGATGGCGTAGGGGTCTGCATGGGCGGGGGAGAGGGAGACAGGACACAGAGCAGGCTCGGTGACAGCCACCTGCTTGGGGACAGCAACGCCCAGGCTGGAACCCACTGTCCCAGGGGCAATTCCCGGCTCGTCTGGGAGGAGGGCTGGGAGCCAGGTCCTGACAACGAACATGAGATGCACGGAACCTCCCCCTCTGGAAGGCCACAGGAATGAAGTCCAGCTGGAAGAAGTAAGTCCCTGAACGGTCTGCTCATTCATTCACTAATCCGATAAGCAATTGTTAAGTGCCTCTGTATGTCAGGATAGGAGCTAGGTGCTGGGGGCTGAGACTACAATTTGAAGGAAAATGTAAAATACACAAATGCAAAATGACAATTTGGATCAGACAACCACACAGCACAGCAAAGTGTGTCAGGGAAACACTTGCTCCCAAGGAAGGAAGGACAACGCAGCGAGGTTGGTCCCTGAGCTCCAGGACGCCAACAGGCTCACGTGGCCAGGTCTGCGCTTCCAGCTCACTCTGGCTGCCCCAGGGAGAACAAACTGGAGGGGGCGGAGGGCTTTGCAGGAAGCCAGTTAGAGGCTACTACAAAGGTCTCGGCAGAGATGGTGAGGGCTTAGCTGGGAGTGGGTTGCTAGAGAGCACACAGACCCAAGAGCTGTTTGGCTATTGGGGGGTAGGAGAGGAATCAGAAGGCCCCCACTGATCCCCGCTGTCACCAAATCCCTTTCCAGCCTGCCAGCCCCAGCCACAAGTCATTCTGCCTAGTAACAAAGACAGGCTGTGCCACTGGAGCAGAGTTTAGGGAAGTGGGGCACACAGATGCAGATTCAGCAGACGGCCTGAGAACCTGCCTTTCTAACAAGCTCCCAGGTGATGCTGGGGCTGCCCTCTAAGGCCACACAGTGGAAACCAGTGTAACACAAAGTCTAAGGGGACCCAGCTGGGAGAGGAGCTGAGGGCTTGGAGGGGAGGGCCCTCCAAACAGGAGTTCAGCTTAGGGCCAGGGTTCCATTTGTCACCATCTTGTAAGACTAGAAGTGGCAGAGGTGGAGGGCACTTGGACAGGAAAGTCTGGGCACGCAGGAGGCTGGATGTGTAAGAGGGCCAAGTCCATGCAGCTGGCATCCTGCTCCCTCCTGCCCTGCCCCGGCACTGCCGCTAACTCCCCATATGACCTCAAGAGGCCTCAGTGACCTGACAGGCAACCACCTCCAACTCAGAAGCCTCAGAAGGAGTGGGGATGGGCTGGGATGAGGAGAGAACAAGCCAGGCTGATGGCCACAAGGACGCCAAGGGACAAGCAACGGCCATTGCACAGGAGGTGCAGAGGGAGGGGCTGCAGGGAGTGACCAAGGAAGAGGTAGGAAGAGTGGGTGGGCAGTGGCAGGACTCCCATTAAGGGATGCAGGAAGCAGGATCCAAATGGTGGCTGTCACCCACAGGGCAGATTTTAAGGGTGAAGGGCATCTACATTAAAAGACAGAAGCTATGGGCAGCCACAGGCTGAACAATGCTGGATTTGGCTAATAAGATGCAGCCGCCAACCTGGACCCATCAGGCACAAAACACAGCAGGGGCAATCCCAGAGGGCTTCCTGCAGGAAGTTGGTATGAACCTGATTCTGGGAGAAGGGGGCAACGGGAGGCCCTTGGCACAGGAAGGGTAGATGAGAGATGCCCAGCATGTCTCACCCCCTCCACACACACCTGGCGGGAGCACCCCTGGCATGGGGCTCCCTGCTCCCTGCACAGGCCCTGGCAGGGCTGGCCACGAGCCCTTTGCCTGCTGCCCCTGGCAGGGCCCAGCGGCGTCTGTGCATTTAATGAAACCGTCTGGCTGTGATACCATCAGCTGCAGGCTCGGCAGAGAACCTCTCCCAGTTCCAGTAAGGGAAGTAGGGCGCGTTCCGATAAATAAAACCGTATTAGAGGCCGCGACAAAGCCCCTTTCGTTCCCGCCCCCCGTGCTTCCCAGCGCTTTATTTTTATAAGCGTGCGGGCCCCAGCCGGCCGCGTTTACACAGCCATCACAATTGGGCATTGTAGCGCCATGCACGCTGTATTGGTGTTGGCAGCACCCCCACGCTGGCCCCTGAGCGGGTCGACTCCCTCCAGCAGCCTTCCCTCCACCCCCCAGCTCAGGCAATGAGCTCAGCCCCCGGGGCTGGGGCTGGGGGTGGGGGTGGGCTTTCAAACAAAACTCACCCAGACCCACACTTGTGCCCCACCCGCCCACGGGAGGAAAACACACAACAAAGGCATTGTAAAGAGCAGGCCTGGAGGCCTGGGGCCTCAGACACTGCGCTACTGTGTGCCGGGCCTGGCCTCTCCCCTACGGGGCCCAGCCCCTCCCTGCCAAGCTGAAGGGGATGGGGGTGTTTGCTACAGCAAGGTGTGCAGATGAAGGAAAGCCAGATGGACCTGCAGAACCTGCCCCTCCTGGTGGGACTGGGGCTCACCAGTTCCAGCTGAGCACCCCCCAAGGCGGGGGCAAGAACCTCTGCATGAGCAGTCTCCCAGGACCCCAAGCTACAGGGAGAGGCTCCAGCCACAGACACGCGGGGATTCTGCTGGACACCGCCGTTGCCACCAGCGAGCAAGGGAGTGGGCAGCACGTCCCAGGCAGGCGGCTCTAAGCTGGGTCCAGAGCCCAGCACCGGGCTGTGGGGGCTGGGCGCTGCTGCTCAGCCCTTCCTGGAGCTCCAGGGAGGGACCTCTGCATTCCCAGTACACCAGGCTTTCCTGGAGGGCCTCCTGCCACACAGCTTCCAACCCCAGGGCTGGGGACAGGGCAGATGGTGTCACCTCATTTGTCAGCCTGGCCCCAGAAGACGAACTGGCTGGCCCAGGGCCAGACCCCCCAACTCCTAGTCCAGTGTTCCTCCTGCCACGTCGCCCTCATAGAAGGTACCCGCAAGGGAGGGTGGGGCGGAGCGCCAGGAATCAAGGAAATTCACATTAAAACTATACTAGAGCAATATTTTCCCTATAAAATTAAGAACAATCACTTAAAGTTATAAAACCCAGCGCTAGCAAAACCTAGACAAAGGGTGCGCTCCTTCACCGCCGGCAGCATGTCAGTAGCTTTCAAAAGAGCAACCTGGCAGCGCGCCCTGAAGAACGTGAACCTGATCCTGTCCCTTTCCTTGCATTCCCGAGAACCATCCCAACAACCCCAAAAGCTGCATGTGCAAAGATGCTCGCTCTGGCACTAATGACACCGCATCATTCATTCACCAGAGTGGCCACCACGGGGTAGGGTTGCATGGTGCTAGCAGCATGAAGAAGACCCGGACCCAGCCCAAGCTCTCAGGCACGTGACGACAAGCAGGAGGTGAGATGCAGCTTCCTAGTGGTGGGTTCGGGTGCCAGGGACGGGGAGTGCCCAACTGCAGCCTGGTCGCATCGAGTCTCCAGGACAAGTCTCCTCCCTGGAGTCTCAGAAAGCAGGCGGCAGCCAGCGCGGACCAAGCCAAAGGGGACCTTGCAGGCAGCCAGCATGGTGCAGCCAGGGACCCCAAGAACAGCACAGGCACTGGGGGCACAGCAAGACCTTGTCCTGGCACAGGGGAGAAAGGGCGCACCCGGGGCAGGTCATGGACGGCCCTGGACCCGTGCTGAGCAGCTTGGGCTGTATCCTGCAGATCAACGTTTCCCAAAACATGTGTTCAAGTGGCGCGCTCTCTAGGGAGCTACCGAACGCTTCAACTGGTTAAACAGGCTCCTGCCTGCCCAGGCCTCAGAGCTTCTCTGTGCTCCTGTGCCCCATAAATCTCCAGGCGCACAGGGCTTCCCAGCCTCTCCCACTAAGGAACCCTTTGCAAGTGAAGCATTTCACAAGCCTCCAATGCACTTTGGAAAACACCTTCCTGAGCTCCTTGCGCGGATTGCCCAGGCCAGCGCCAACCTTAACAAAAGGCTCTGCTTAGAGGAGGAGAGGGAGGGTGCGGGACCAGAGCACAGATGGGGAAGGAAGCCCCAAAGCAATCTCCACCGCCAGCCAGGACAGAGCCCAGATTGGGGCCAAACGCAGGCACTGGTCACCACGAGGTGGCCCCAGCTGTGTGGCTGCCACATCCCATCAGAAGCACTGCGGTCCAGTCTGTTGGGAACACCCCCAGGACCATCCAACTGGAGCACAGGTGTCATGAGGGGCCACAAGGCTGGCAAAGGGAGCACAGAGCTTTAGCTTCCCGGACAGGCCGTCCGGCCCCTATTGAGAGATGAATAACAGCACCTGACCAGCTCACCATCTCCCACACTTGGTTGGCCAAATCAGGCCCCCATGTCCACTGCCCAGCAACGCTCAAGGAATGCAAGTGCTGGAAGGTCCCCCGTCGGGGGCGGGGGCAGCTCTGTGAGCAGAGCCGAGGCTCCCTGCAAGCATGCGGCAGTTTCAGCTGGGGAGGGGCAAAGCAGACAGCTGCCCCCATACCCACTTGTCTTTGAGGAACAGCAATCTAGGGCAGTCACCCCTTCCAACCCACAGGGGTGGCAGGATGGAGGGAGGCAGGATGGAGGCAGAGCACCACATCCTTTCGAGCCCAGCTTCTCAGTTCCCAGGAAAGCCAGCGCATGCAGCAGACACTCACAAGGCAGGGACAGCCCTGGGCCAGCAACACAGAGTAGCTGGCTGTGTCGCACAGTGTCCTCCACGTTTTCACTTCATCGAAATGCTATGGTGGCCACATTCTCTCTCTCTCCCTCCCTTCCCCCCCCCCCACACACACACACAGGCACGTGCCATGAACATCTTCCCTTTGGTTCAGGGGACTGAAGCAGATGGCCCCACCCAGATGCAAGCCTCAGGTCACCCGCACAGCAACATCGGTACAAGCACCTTCCTCTCCCAAGTTCAGTGTTACTCAACAGGTGCTGCTGCGACGCTCCCAGCATCCACTCCAATCCTTAGCCAACGAGAAGGCACAGACACAGCCTGGCCTCCAGGCAGCCCCGAGGCCTGCCAAACAGGGGACCACAGGACAGCTCCATCCCATCCCGAGGCGGCCAGCGGCTAGAAGGTGCCACCAGCAACACACTGTGCCCAACCCTCCTGGCTCAGACATTCCAAGTCGCACACAAGCTTCCTCCGAGAGGCCAGCCGGTGGCCCTGCACAGCCGCCGGCCGCCAGCCGCCCCAGGTCAGTTCCCAGGGAGAAATTGCTTTGGTTTAGGGTTGGGAGGGAAAATAAACACTCTGGGTTTTACAGGTTCCCCACGCGGCTGCTGTTTTCCTTTGCAGCAGCTGCTCAATCGGCCCTTTCATTCAGAAACCAGTGCCTCCGCGGAAGCCCGAGGCAGTGCCCTCAAAGCTCAAGGGAGGTTTATCTGGGGGAGGGGTGGGGCCGGGATGGAAAGAGTGATGTGGCCCACGGGCCTGCCCCAGACGTGAGCACCGGCTCCTCTCACTGGTTCCCTGCAGGAGTTCCCTCCCCGTGGGGTCCTCGGCCAGCTGGACCACAGAAGACAAGGAGCCTGGGCCCCATCTGGCTGCCCGCCCTGCACGACCCTGCCACCTACACCCTCACCTCTCACGCCGTCCCTGGAAGGGCGAGGAAGAGAGCTAGCTTGTGAATTTTGCCCATATCTTTTTTTCCTCTGGGTACGTTCCGATCGTCAGAATCCTGGGTAAGTTTCCCAGGACGTTGTCACCACACGCACGTAGCTATCTGTCCCTGGCCTCCAATTCTAACTTGCTGGTTTTGAATACGCTTTAGGGACAGGCACGCTCAGGATGAGAAATGAATGCAGCCACCATGAGCCTGGCTGCATGGGGCAACAGGGGAGGTAAGGGACCTGGGAACCACAGCTGCTGGGGAGGGCGAGCATGCGCAGTCCCCACATCGGGGTGAAAAACACAGGCCAGGCAGGAGGACAGGCAGATCGGGGGAAGCTGTAGGGTGTTCCATGATGAGGATGTCACTCTCTCAGCACTGAGTCCTGCCCCAGCAAACAGCAGGCCTCTGGAGGCTGACTGCCCTGGGTCACTTGTCTGTTACTTTTTAGCCTCCACCCCCATCTTTTAAGACAGGGCTGCAGCAAGGGTTACACTGTCAGTAAGCACCTGGCCCACCCTGAGCTCTTGGGGCTGCTTGCAAGGTCAATTCCAGCACTCCAGGTTCAAGGACCCCTTCCTGCGGGAACTCATGCTCAACGTGGGAAGGTAGTGGCAAAGGATTGCAATCAGTCTGTGCAGTAAGCATGAGGGCTCCCAGCAAGGCGCTGGCCTAGGGCTGAGAAAGGAGCAACCAAGTCGGCTCCGAGAAGAGTTGCAAGGCATCTGAGCAGGGTCCTGAAGCATGGCGAGGAGTTCTCTGGGCTACGAGGAGGGGAATGCATTCTTGGCAGAGAACAGTCACGCACGTGGAGAAGCTTGGCAAACACAAGGACTGGTGGCATGGAGCTGGCAGAGGCAGAGGAACAAGCCAAATTTGAAATAGGCAAGGTCCACAGAGCTGGCCTCCCAGGACCTGGCTGCTGTGCTGAGGAGCTGGGGGCTTGTCCATCAGCATCTGTTCATGAAAGCAGTGAGCAGCTGCCCAGGTGTGTCAGGGGTAGCGTGGAAGGCAGCAGGGAAGCCAGGGAAGAAACAAATGGCCTAGAGAAGGGGCGAGGCCAGTGAGAGATGGCAGCATGAGACTGAAGAGGGGGGAACAGATAGGAGGGCAATTCCAGGGCCAGTATCCACAGGACTGGGTCAGAAATGGCTGCCGGCCCCAGGATCAAGGCAAGAGGTGCAAAAGAGGCAGGGTGGCCAGGAGTCAGCTTTGGACAGAGCAGATGCATCGATCAATTGCAGTCTGTGCAATGGAGCAGGTGGGGGTGGCAGAAGCAGCAGGAGACCTGGGGCAGAGTGGCAGCCTGGGAGCCACGGCCAGAGGGGCTCTCAGGGAGGAGGGGCAGTCGGCCACACAGAACCCTGCAGGGGAATTGAGCAGGCCATGGACGGGTGACTGCTACACCAGCTGATCCAGGCGACAGTACTGGGCACAGCCAGGCCCCCACTGGCAAGAAGTCCCCTGAGGCCACAGTCCCTGGTGCCCCCCCTCCCCCACCTACCAGAAAATGAGTCCTTGTCCATCGCAGGCAGGTCCCGGGCCTGGTACATGTAGCAGCGTAGGTGGTAGCGGTTCCCATCTTCCCAAGGAAGAAACAGAGACAGCAGCGTGAAGGGCTGGGTGACTAAGAGCTGGAGCTGGAGGGGAGGTGGGGTCTCTCCACGGTAAGGGCAGCAGACTGGGGGGCTGAACAACAGAAATGACTCGGGCACCAGGTTGGGACGAACAGACCACCACTCAAAGGCAGACAGGGGCTTGATGCGTCCTTGGCCCAGGCTAGAGCTGATGGGGAGAGGGAAGGGGGAAGAGCCAAATACACAACAGGGCAGCCAGAGCTTTGGATGTCCGAGCTCAAACTTGAGACTGTGTGCACATGCGCACATCAACACACATCTAGACACGCACGTAAACCCCAAGACACTGAGCCATGAAAAAGCAGACTGCATTCTCCAATGACCCCGCATACGAGCCTGCCCACAGAACCCCACACAGACAGAAGTGTAAGGTCACACCCCCATCGGCACCCCCAGGCAACACTTACAGTCAAAGATGCAGGAAATCGTGGGTCTGTTCACGCCAAAGCTCAAGGTGGAGACCGACATGGAATCCTCACTCCTGTCATCCACCACGCCGCCCTGGGGACAAAGCCAGTCATGGGGGATGCTGACCCCAGTGTTAGGTCCCCAGGGCCAAGAGGCCTCAAGATCACTCTGGGCCCTCAGGACTCCAATCTCACCCTGGGGTGCGCCCCCTCTAAAGCATCAAACTCCAATGTCATGTCCACAAACGGCTATGGGGAATCCTCCCTTCCCCATGGAGACTACACAGCCTTCCTTGTGCAATCTGGGGGTGTTCCAGCCACAGAAGCCAGAATATGGTGGAAGGAAGGATCCTAGAGGGCCTTCCAGGGGACACCCACCAGGGGACCTGCCCCCGAGGGACAGGTCTAGCGGGTCCCCAGCCCAGGGTGTTTAGAGGCAGTGCCAGCACAGCAGGTCCAAGCTCCGGGGAGGGGCTCTACTGCACCCCCCATCTCTCACCAGTTCTCATAGCACTGAGGGTGAGGAGGACCAAGGCTGAGGCAGGATGGGAGGCAGGGTGGGTCTACAGCAGACTCAGAAGCCAATCTGTCAGTCTGCTGCGCATGAAACCAAGCTGGTCAGCCCTGTCACCATGTCCTCATAGCTCTGGGCCCCAACCCACTGAGCCATGAGTGGCTTTTGAGGACAATGAGAGCAGACCCCTCCCGAAGAGACCATGCTGGCCAGGACGTCACAGGCGGAGCTCAGTGGCAGGCCCACTGCAGGCACTGGCCTTGAGGGTGACTTCCTTCAGGGAGAGGAGCCACTGCAAGGGCCCCCATGCTGCCCGGGCTCTGGGCCTGTGCTGCCTCTGCCCAGCCTCCACCCGACCTGCCATCCACAGGTAAGGACCTGCCTCCTGCCGTCAGCTCACAGCGACAGTGATTGTTGGGAAGACGTGTATCTGGGCAGGCAGGGCAACTACACAGCTACAGCCGAGCTAAGGGACAGCTGCCAATTTAGGACCCTTCCAGCTGCCCTAGTTCCTACCCGTGCAGCTGTCGACATCTGTATAGCTCTGGCCCTCCTGACCTTCCTGGAGGACCTGGGCTCTCCACACAGCCCCATTAGGCCCAGGAGAGACCCTTGCCAGCCCCTAACCTCTGAAATGCATCTTCAGCAGCCTGGACGCACCCGGCCACCTCTCCATGCTCAAACCAGGGAACGTGCCTTTCCCGGACTCACACACGCCATCACACGTACACACTCAACACGTCTCCACGTACCTCCCACATGCTCACACAGCCTCACACAATCCTCAGTCACGCCACACAGCCTCATACACACCTTGCACCCCCACGCAGCACTCCCAACCCTGCCCCGCGGCTCCGCCCTTCCTCACAGCCTGGGCTGCCGCAGACGCTGGGTGCGCCCACCTTCTCCCTCACGTGGCATGGGCTCCCAGCACGAAGAGGCCCTGGTTGAGACTGGTCAGTGAGCACAACCCAAGGGGAGCCCCGCCCCCTCACCGCCCCGCTCCTCGCGTGGCCAGCCTTGACAAGGAAGGAAAGGAACCTTCCTGGAGCACAGCCTGACTGGAAGGAAGAGCCGCTGGAGCAGCAACCTGGAGCACGGCAGGACGGACACGGGCTCGCCCCACACTGCCCATCGCCTCAGCTACACGGTACTCAGCGCCGTCACGGAGCGACCACTCCCGCCTTTGTTTCAGAGCCGGACAACGGTGTGCGAACTCACCACGGCACCACAGCGCACCTGCTCTGCCCGCCAGCATCTGTGCACAGAGTAGAAAACCCAGGCGCTAAGAGCATGGCACACGGCCTGGGGCTCTGCCGAGGAGCACCACCCGGCACGCAGCTCAGGGACTCCACAGCAAGTACTCAGACGGCAGGAACAAGAGGCAGTAGCCTGGGGGTCCCAGTGTGGGTCTCAGGGAGGGGCGGCTGCCATCACAGCCACACCGAGTTACAGCCACCAAAGATGCTTCCAGGCAGTGGCACAGTGAAATGACACACCCACCGCCCTCGGCAGGCACCTGGTACTCAGCAGCAGGTCTAGTGGCATCAGTTTATCTCTCTCATCACTCCAGGCTCACACTAAACAATGCTGTCACGCTCCTCTCTCACCTTCTTTACATTTCTTGAGCTCATCTTCTTCCCTCTGCCACAGGGCCTTTGCACAGGGACTCCTCCTCTCCATCAAACTAACCTGAGCTCTTCCTTCAGCTCCATCATCGCTGGGACCTGGACACCCTGACTGTCTGGCTTGAATCAGCAGCGCCTTTCCAGCCTCTCCTAGTCTTTCTCCTGCACTCATGCTCTGTGCGTGAAATCAAGGAGATCTGGTCCTTTATCACCAGCACCCAGCCCAGCAAGTGGCACCTCAGAGTCACCCCGTGAAGACTCATCACCTGCCGCGTGTCACCAGCATGGCTTTGCCCTCTGCCACACGTGTGGCACACAGGCCCAAGGACCCATGGCGAGGGACAGGAAAGGGTGCACCACACAGCAGTCTCCCCCTTTAGGAAGCTCTGGGCACGAAGCTGTTACTACAAAAAAGACCCACCAGCAGCGACTCACACCCCAGGATGGCACCATCTGTGGGGTGCGATGCAACCGGAGGGCTTAGAAGGTTCCATCCAGGAAGACTTCCTGAAGGAAGAGGAGAGGCGGGGTGGCAGCTAAGGAGAGCAGGGAGTGCCCACACCAGAGCCCTGTGAGCCCAGTGCAGGGCCTGCCTGCAGGAAAGGCTGCTACTCTGGTTTCTGCCTACCCACCCCTCATCCCGCTTACACACACACACACACACACACACACACACACTCCTGCCCAGCCCCAGGCCAGACCCAGGGCATTGAGTTTCCCACAATCACATTCCTACCTCCATAGCTCATGCAACTCCCAGGCCGAGCCTGGCAGCCACCCGGGCTGCGGCCACGCACTCCATGCCGGGGCCGGCTGTGTAAGGGATCCCACTGCCCGCCCAGGGGACTGGGCCCCCTCCAACCCACCGCTGCCCAGCTGGAGCCACAGCTCCCCAAGGGGCTTGAGCAATGCTCTGCCTCCGGAATGCCGCAGGGCTCCCCTGGGGAGGGCCCAGAGCCAGCAGCCAAACCACCTGAGTCTGCTGAGGGCTGACATCCAGAGACCCCCAAAGCCTACAAGAACGCCTCCACCCACCTGACTGGGTCAAGGCCAAGATGGAGACCATCGAGACTCCTTCTGTGCCATGCACAATCTCCCTGTAGCAACGGTGCCATGCCCGAAACGGGACCTAGGGCTCCGGTTGAGCACCTACAGAGTGGAGGCTGGAGGGCAGAGGTGGACGTATGCAAACGGCACAAGCTGAGCACTCAGAGGACAGCGCCACAGCAGCTGCACCCACAGAGGCATCTCAGGGTCGTAGCGTCCTTCCCTGTCTCGGTTGGATCTAACAGACCAGCATGGGTGGCTGCCTCTCACTCACTTTAGAGAACACTAGCTCTGCTACTGCACAGCAGGGGCCCCGAGAGCACTGGCCACAGGCCTGGCAGAAAGGCCGCTGCAGCTAGGGGCCACAGCCTCCTCTTTACTCCATGCAGACAGGACCCATGGAGCCCTGAGGGCAGCAGGTGCTAGAGCCGGCTCACAGGGCTTGGGGCAGCAGATGAGATCAAGCGTTTTGCCACACAGCCATCAGGGAGAACTAAATCATACGAACCCACAACCAAAGTGACGGTATGAAAAAATAAAAATTGGCAAATACTCACACTCACCCCAATTCTCTTCCTACTGTTCACTACTACCTGTGATCTAGGGGTTACCTGCATCTAACGTCCCCGGGATGGCAGTACATCAACCAGGGCGCCACCGCCTGCCCCTTCCCGGCTCCACATGCAGAGGCACCACGTCCCTAGCTTGAGATCAGCCATGGTGGGGGTATTTATGCCACAGAAATCAGCACATGCTACGACCCAGGGTTGGCGCCACCATTTTGGCTTGGTTCACTTTTCTTTTTTTTTTTTTATTTTTTTTATTTTTTGACAGGCAGAGTGGACAGTGAGAGAGAGAGACAGAGAGAAAGGTCTTCCTTTGCCGTTGGTTCACCCTCAAATGGCCGCCGCGTCCGGCGCGCTGCGTCCGGCGTACCGCGCTGATCCGGTGGCAGGAGCCAGGAGCCAGGTGCTTTTCCTGGTCTCCCATGGGGTGCAGGGCCCAAGCACCTGGGCCATCCTCCACTGCACTCCCTGGCCACAGCAGAGGGCTGGCCTTGAAGAAGGGCAACCGGGACAGAATCCGGCGCCCCGACCGGGACTAGAACCCGGTGTGCCGACGCCGCTAGGCGGAGGATTAGCCTAGTGAGCCGCGGCGCCGGCCTTGGTTCACTTTTCTTATAGAGCTGATTATAAAACACCGACCGGCACAGCCCTGGGGCAACCCTGCAGGTCCTCACTTCTTATCTTTTCAACATCAACTTTGCCGGGCCATCCAAAGAACTCGACAACATAGCACAGATCACCTTTGGTCTGACACCACCTGGCCATCACCTGCAAGATTTGTGACAATGCCTCGATTATCACTTCTCCGTGCCTCAGTTTGCTTACCCATAAAGTAAGAATATTAGAACTGATCCCCTAGTACCATGAGAACAGTTAAATGAGATGATAGGCAAACAGAGCAGAGGTAACATATAATATGAGAGGGCTTCAAGGCATTCATGGAAATCTTGTATTATTTTTAATTCTGGTTTTCCGTGGGGTTTTTTTTTTGTTTGTTTGTTTGTTTGTTTGTTTTTTACGGGCAGAGTGGACAGTGAGAGAGAGAGAGAGACAGAGAGAAAGGTCTTCCTTTGCTGTTGGTTCACCCTCCAATGGCCGCTGCGGCTGGCGCGCTGCGGCCGGCGCACCACGCTGATCTGATGGCAGGAGCCAGGTACTTCTCCTGGTCTCCCATGGAGTGCAGGGCCCAAGCACTTGGGCCATCCTCCACTGCACTCCCTGGCCACAGCAGAGAGCTGGCCTGGAAGAGGGGCAACCGGGACAGAATCCGGCGCCCCAACCAGGACTAGAACCCGGTGTGCCAGCGCCGCAAGGCGGAGGATTAGCCTAGTGAGCCGCG